GGAAGGAGGAGCAAGAGGAGGGGGAGAGGCAGAAGCAGGGAGAGGTGGGCCGGACGTGGTGGTTCGGATTGAGAGGGCTACGTTCAGCTGGGATGCAGACCCACAGAAGCCCACGTTGACTGACGTTGACCTGGAGATTAGGCGGGGAATGAGAGTGGCCGTCTGTGGGACCGTGGGGGCGGGCAAATCCTCCCTGCTGTCGTGCATCCTGGGGGAGGTGCCAAAGCTGCAAGGGAAGGTGAGGTGTTGGATTGGAATTGAGAACTCTACCTGGAGGTCAGGCACGGCATGCGTGTGGTTATCTGTCAGAATGTAGGGGCGGGCAAGTCCTCCCTGCTCTCGTGCATCGTGGGGAGATTCCGAAGCTGCAAGGGAAGGTGAGGTGTGTAAGGCGGAGTCTGGGGTAGGGTTTCTGGGCTTTGGCAAGTCCAGCCTGCTGTCTTGTATTCTGGAGGAGGTACCAAGGCTGCAAGGGGTGAACCTGTCTCAACTTCTCCTCCCTCCTCCTCCTTCCCTCCCCACTCCCCTCCTCTCCGCTCCCCTGTCTCAGGTGTTTGTTGCGGGCCCCACAGCCTACGTCCCCCAGTCCGCGTGGATCCAGAACGCCACCATTCGGGACAATATTTTGTTCGGCCAACCACTAGACCGCCCGCGCTACCAGGCGACCCTGCAGCAGTGCGCGCTGGTGGCTGATCTGCGGCTGTTCCCCCGGGGGGACGAGACGCAGATAGGAGAGCGAGGGGTGAACCTGTCGGGCGGCCAGAAGCAGCGCATCCAGCTGGCCAGGGCGATGTACGCCGGGGTGGGATGGGTGCAGAGGTTTATCTGCTGGACGATCCCTTCAGTGCCGTGGACGCCCACACGGGATCAGAGCTCTTCATGGTAAGGCTTGGTTGAGGGAAGACTTCAGGTAGGGCACTGGCATTTTTGGTGGGGCAAGTGGGGTCTATTGGGTAGGGCGCTGTGGAGTTGGGACGAGACGCAGATAGACGAGCGAGGGGTGAACCTGTCGGGCGGCCAGAAGCAGCGCATCCAGCTGGCCCAGGCGATGTAGGCAGGGGTGGGGATGGGTGCGGAGGTTTATCTGCTGGACGATCCCTTCAGCGCTGTGGACGCCCACCATACCGGTTCTGAGCTGTTCATCGTGAGACAATCTGGTGTCATGGGGTGCAGAGCATTTGGGTTTGTGTGTGGTCATTCACCAGGAGATGGGTGCGGAGGCTTATCTGCTGGACGACCCCTTCAGCGCTGTGGACGCCCACACAGGCTCTGAGCTGTTCATGGTGAAACGATTGGGGGTTTAGGACACTGGGGTTTAGGGTGAATCTGCCTGGGGTTTAAGATTGACCTAAATCCCTCCATCTCCCCTTCCCCCCCCCCCCCTCTTTTCCCTCTGTCTATTCCCACCAGGAGTACCTCGAGGGCCTGGCCAGCAGGACTGTCATCCTGGTGACGCACCAAGTGGAGTTCCTGGTGGTATCTCTCACGCAACCTCCCACCCAACCCTACCCTCTCCCTGTGGTGTCACAGGAGTACGTGCTCAAGGGCCTGGCCGACAGGACTGTCATCCTGGTGACGACCCTGGCCTTCTTACGCATCCTCTCATCTCCCCCTCACTCCTTCTCCCCACGCGTCCCTCTCCCTCCCATCAGGAGTTCGTGCTCAAGGGCCTGGCTGGCAGGTCTGTCATCCTGGTGACGCACCAAGTGGAGTTCCTTCCCGCTGCTGACCTCATCCTGGTGAGATGCTGGCGTCATCCTGGTGAGATGCTGACCTCATCCTGGTGAGGTGCTGGCGTCATCCTAGTGAGATGCTGACGCCATCCTTGCAAATGCTCTGTCTGTCATTCCTGTCTGTCTGTTTTGAGACCATTCTGCTCCATGTTGAGTCGGTTTGGTTTGGTTTGGTTTGGTTCGGTTCAGTTCGGTTCGGTTCGGTTCGGTTCGGTTCGGTTCGGTTCGGTTTGTCCTTGAAGGAAGCCAGTGCTTCATCGCCCTCACTTCTTTAATCCTTGCCTTTCTCCCCCTTCAACTAGGGGTTGAGGGAAGGGCGCATATTGCAGGCAGGCAGAGCGCTACAATCAGCTGCGGGCACACACTGAACGCTTTTGAGGCGCCTCAAAACCATTTTGAGGCGCCTCAAAATGCGGGCAGAGGGCGCACACTGAACCCTTTTTCTCCTCCTCCCCCTGTCGTCCCCACCCCCCACACACAACCAGCAGGTGATGCAGGACAGGATGGGCGCATTGTCCACAAGGGGTGCTACGACCAGCTGCTGGCAGAGGGCACTGAACTCTCTGCCCTGGTGGAGGCACACACTGACTGACGCTCCTCTTTCCCTCCCCCCTGCCCCCTGTCTTCCCTTTCATCAGGTGATGAAGGAAGGGCGCATAGTGCAGGCAGGAAGATACGACCAGCTGCTGGCAGAGGGCACTGACTTCTCTGCCCTGGTGGAAGCACACACGGACGCGCTGGAGAGTGTTGGAACAGCCACTGCCGCTGCTGCTACAACTGCTGCCGCTGCCGTTGCTGCTGCTGCCGATGCAGCAGCTGCTGCTTCAGCTTCTTCCTCTGCTCCTGCTCCGGCTGCTGCTGCTGCTGCTCCTGCTGCTCCTGCTGCTGCTGCTACTGCTGCTGCTGCTGCTGCTGCTGCTGGTGCCTCACATGCTGCTTCTGAACTTCCCCCCTCCTCCTCATCCACTCCTCTCCTCCCCAAGCAACCCACCGATTCCCTCCCCAGCAGACCTCCCCCCCATCCACAGCTTCGGAAACCCTCCGACCCGAACCTGCGAAAACGCTCGGCACCGAACCTGCTGCGCAAGGCCTCGCATGCGCAGCTTCGGAAGGCGTCCGATCCCATGCTCCTGCACACAGCATCCCCAGAGTCCCACCAGATCCTAGATAACATGGACATAGGGGACTTGGGTGGGAATTCTGTTGGTGTTTCCGGTGCTGCTGGTGCTGGTGGTGGTGCTTTTGGGGGGCTATAGGGGAGGATGGGGATGGGCAGTTGATTAGTGACGAGGAGAGGGAGTCCGGGCGGGTTTCCTTGTCCGTATACTGGCAGTACATGACGAAGGCGCTGGGCGGCTGGCACGTGCCGCTGCTGCTGCTGGTCCAGCTGGCGTGGCAGGCGCTGCAGATCGGATCTGACTGGTGGCTCGCCACGTACAGCTCAGCAGACTCGGGAAACAGCTCAGCAGGGGCAGGCTACACGTCAGCAGGAACGGGGTACACGTCAGCAGGGGCTGAATACAGCTCTGCAGCGGCCGGGTTAAGTAGCAGTGTTCTGAGCAACCTCACCTCTGCTCTCTCCTCTCCTTTCGCCTCTAATCTCTCCTCCTCCCTCACCCCATCCCTCTCCTCCCCCTCCTCCTCCTCTCTCTCCTCCTCTTTCTCCTCCTCCCTTTCATTCCTTACCCCCTCAACCATCACCCCTTCGGCCTTCATGAGGCTGTACTCGTTATTAGCTCTGGGCAGCGGCGTGTTTGTGCTTTTAAGAACAGCCGTCATATCGTGGGCCGGGGTGCTGACCACGCAGGCGTTCTTCAGAGGCATGCTGCAGTCCGTCTTCCGCGCCCCCATGGCGTTCTTTGACTCAACACCTATCGGAAGGATCTTATCGAGGGTAAGCTACACATACACATTCACTCAGTGACAATAAGGTGTAATTGCATTCCCTTGTCAACTTCACTCCCTCGCATTCCCTTCACAAGTGTCCTGTCCACTCCACTCCTCCCTTCGTCCCTTCTCCCTCTCTCCCTTCCCTCTCCTCTCCAGGCGTCCACGGAACAAAGCGCTCTAGACTTGGACCTGCCATTTGAGGTCGGCTTGTCTCTTGCCATGCTGTTCCAGCCAGCTGCTCAGCATTCCTTTCGTCGCTCCCTCTAAACCCCTATCTCCTCTTCCTCCATGCCCATCCCCCTCCCTCTCCAGGCCTCAACCGATCAAAGCGCCCTGGATCTGGAACTGCCATTCGAATTTGGGTCTCTCCTCGCCTTGCCATGCTGTTCCAGCTGCTGGGCATCCTCTTCGTCACTTCCTTCATCACGTGGCCCCCATCCGCCCCCCTTCCCTCTTCGCCCCCCTCTCCCTCGCCTTCCCCTCCAGGCCTCCACCGATCAGAGCGCCCTAGAATTGGATCTACCCTTTGAGTTCGGCTCCCTCCTCGCCATGCTGTTCGAGCTGCTCCTTCTTTCCCCTTGCCTCCCCTCCCCTCTCCACACCTCCACGGATCAAAGTGCTCTACACTTGGACCTGCCGTTTGAGTTCGGCTCCCTTTTAGCCATGCTGTTCCAGCTGCTCGGGATCCTCTTCGTCACCTCCATCATCACATGCCGGCCCTTATGCCACCCCCCATCTCCCTCCCCTCTCCTCCCCTCCAGGCCTCCACAGACCAGAGCGCCCTGGACTTGGACCTGCCATTCGAGTTCGGGTCTCTCCTCGCCATGCTGTTCCAGCTGCTGGGCATCCTCTTCGTCACCTCCATCATCACATGGCCGGTGTTCTACGCCATCATCCCCCTGGCGTACCTCTACTTCTCCTTCCAGGTAGGGTCTGCCCCGTACCTGGTAACACCACCTACCCCTTGTAACCCATGCCTCCATCCATCATCACATGGCCCGTGCTCTACGCCATCATCCCCCTGGCGTACCTCTACTTCTCCTTCCAGGTGAGAGACGTATAACATAGTTCACACAGATAGCACCCACCTCAGCTGACACCTTCCTCCCTCCATCACGTGGCCCCGTGTTCTACACCATCATCCCACTGGCGTACCTCTACTTCTCCTTCCAGGTGAGACTGGTAACACTGTAACTCAACAGAGCCTACATATCATAAGGGCGCACCCACATCCTTCATAACATGGCCAGTCGTCTGCGGCATTATTCCCCTCGCCTGCCCCAACCTCCCCTTCCAGGTGAGACTGGTAACACTGTAGCACGGATGTAACCTACAGCTTGATAACCCATCCACCCTTCATTCCACGGCCTGTGTTCCATTCCTTCATTCTCGTGGCATATCGCTGGTTCTCCCTCCAGGCAAGACTTTGCATTTGTAACACAAATACAATTTAACCCTTCGGTAACCCATTCCTCTTTCTATCACATGGCTTGCTGACAAATTTGTATTACTCCTTGCAAACGAGACAACGTAACAAGTCAGCCGTATATGATACCTTCCTTGAAATCATCCAAAGTGCTCTTCTGGCAATGTTATGCCCTTTCAGCCATAATCTGTAACAATGTAACAAATCAAAGTTACTCCCTCTCAGCCAACAAAGTATGCCCTCCCCTTATGTATGTACCCCGCTTCCCTTCCTCCACAGGAGGAGTACTACCTCACAACACCGCGTGATAGGAGTCTAGTTTTGAGGCGCCTCAAAACTAGACTCCTTTTGTATGTACCCCGCTTCTCTTCCCCCACAGGAGTACTACCTGATTTTGCAGGGTGTTTTTAAGAATTCTCAAAAACACTCCGCTTCCCTTCCCCCACAGGAGTACTACCTGATTTTGCAGGGTGTTTTTAAGAATTCTAAAAAACACTCTGCTTCCCTTCCCCCTCAGGAGTACTACCTGATTTTGCAGGGTGTTTTTAAGAATTCTAAAAAACACTCTGCTTCCCTTCCCCCTCAGGAGTACTACCTGATTTTGCAGGGTGTTTTTAAGAATTCTCAAAAACACTCCGCTTCCCTTCCCCCGCAGGAGTACTACCTGATTTTGCAGGGTGTTTTTAAGAATTCTCAAAAACACTCCGCTTCCCTTCCCCCACAGGAGTACTACCTGATTTTGCAGGGTGTTTTTAAGAATTCTAAAAAACACTCTGCTTCCCTTCCCCCTCAGGAGTACTACCTGATTTTGCAGGGTGTTTTTAAGAATTCTCAAAAACACTCCGCTTCCCTTCCCCCGCAGGAGTACTACCTGATTTTGCAGGGTGTTTTTAAGAATTCTCAAAAACACTCCGCTTCCCTTCCCCCACAGGAGTACTACCTGATTTTGCAGGGTGTTTTTAAGAATTCTAAAAAACACTCTGCTTCCCTTCCCCCTCAGGAGTACTACCTGATTTTGCAGGGTGTTTTTAAGAATTCTCAAAAACACTCCGCTTCCCTTCCCCCGCAGGAGTACTACCTGATTTTGCAGGGTGTTTTTAAGAATTCTCAAAAACACTCCGCTTCCCTTCCCCCACAGGAGTACTACCTGATTTTGCTGGGTGTTTTTAAGAATTCTCCTTGTGTATGTACCCCGCTTCTCTTCCCCCACAGGAGTACTACCTGACAACATCTAGGGAGCTTTCCCGCCTGAATGGCGTCACCAAGGCACCCATCATCGAACATTTCAGCGAGTGAGCTGCTTCTACCTGGCATCCACACATTCCAAATCAAACGAAGCACACAAGGGAGAACGGAGCGTACTTTTCTTGAAGGGAAAAAAGGGATCCTCTAGGTTAGAAAAATACGCTCCGTTCTGCACATTCCAGGTAAGGGAGAACGGAGCGTACTGCTTTTGTGTCGACTCAAAAGCAGACTCATACACGCGGTTTTTACATTCCAGGTAAGGGAGAACGGAGCGCATTTTTCGAACCTAGACGATCCCTTTTTCTCTTCAAGTTTTGCCCAAGACACGGGCGTTTGAGCCACTCCACTGTCCTCTCTGCTGCGCACACTGCCATGACGCTGTGGGTCTTCTTTGCGCCATGGCTGGTTTCCACCGTATGGAAATCAATCACCAAGCACTATTTGATGACGTGAAGAATCCACCGTAATTGCCTTATGGATTCTTCACGTTTTGAGACGTCTCCAAGCACTATTCTTCACGCATCCCTCCATCAACCCTCTCCCCCAGGTCCCTGTCAGGGCAGCCGACATCTGCGCATTCGCCCAGCAGCCCCGCTTCGCTCATAAGAACGCCGAGAGGGTGGATACCAACAACCCAACTATGTACTTACTCTGCTTTTCTCTCTCTCTTTCTCAGGTCCCTGTCAGGGGCAGCGGTCATCCGCGCATTCGCCCAGCAGCCCCGCTTCGCTCATAAGAACGCCGAGAGGGTCGACACCAACAACCGAGTGGCCTTCCACTATGGCGCCTGCACCGTGTGGCTGGGCGTTCATTTGGAGCTATTGGGAGCTCTGCTGCTCTGTTTCTCGGCGCTCATGCTCGTATGGCTGCCTCCCTCGGTCATTTCGCCAGGTGAGATCCATTGGCCTTCCACTATGGCGCCTGCACTGTGTGGGTGGGGATGCACCTCGAACTGCTGGGGGCTCTGCTGCTGTGCTTTTCAGCCCTCATGCTTGTCTGGCTGCCGCCTTCGGTCATATCACCAGGTAAGCATAACACCCGACAGCAATATTCGCAGGCAGACACACCAACAACCGTGGCCTTGCACTATGGCGCCTGCACCGTGTGGCTGGGCGTTCATTTGGAGTTATTAGGGGCATTGCTCCTGTGCTTCTTGGCACTCATGCTAGTGTGGCTGCCGCCTTCGGTCATCTCGCCAGGTGAGAGTACCTTTCCTCTCTCAAGATGGTGCGCCCCACAACCGCATGGCCTTCCTTCCACTATGGTGCCTGCACCATGTGGCTGCGTCTGCAACTGCAGGGCGTGTTCTGCTACTGCTGGGCGTTTTCTGTGCTTCTCGGCACTCATGCTGGTGTGTGTGGCTGCCCCCGTCAGTCAACTCGCCGGGTGGGATACCCCTCTCTCCCTCACCCAAGCAGCCCAGCACACCAACCACCGCGTCGCCTTCCTTCCACTATGGCGCCTGCACTGTGTGCCTGGGCGTACAACCCCCCCCCTCCCCCCGCCTCCTCCGGCCTAGCCGGCATCTCTCTGTAGCACGGCCTTGCTCTCTCTCAGGGTCTGCTCCACGTCGTTTGGACCTGGTGCGCCCTCCTCTATTCACCCTTCCCTGCTCCCCTTACCTTCCTTTCTCCCCTTCCGGGCCTGGCCAGCATGTCTCTCTCACGGCCTCTTCTATGTGGTCTGGATCTGGTGCGCGCTCGAAAACCAGATGGTCTCAGTTTGCCAATCCCTCCTCTGCTTCCCTCCTTCCGCTCCTCCACGCCTGGCAGGCATGTCCCTTTCCTACGGTCTCGCCCCTTCCCTTCCCCTCCTCCAGTCCTGGCCGGCATGTCCTTTTTCAACGTGCCCCCAGAAGCGCCCCTCACCACCTGTTCTCTCCTCCTATCCCCTCTCCTCTGCTTCCCTCCTTCCCCTCCTCCAGGCTGGCCGGCATATCCCTCTCCTACGGCCTTGCACTCTCCCAGAGCCTCTTCTACGTGGTGTGGATCTGGTGCGTGCTCGAGAACCAGATGGTCTCAGCTTGCCAATTCCTCCTCTGCTTCCTTCTCCCACCAACCCCCCCTCCAGGCCTGGCCGGCATGTCTCTCTCCTACGGCCTCGCCCTCTCCCAGGGCCTCTTCTACGTGGTCTGGATCTGGTGCGCGCTCGAGAACCAGATGGTCTCAGTCGAGCGCATCCTGCAGCTTTCTCTTCCCATTCCCATTTCCCTCTCCCTTCCCTTTCTCCACCCTTCCCTCACCCCTCTTCCTTTCAACCCCCCAGGCCTGGCCGGCCGGCATGTCCCTGTCTTACGGCCTAGCCCTATGTCATCTGGATCTGGGGCACCCTCGAGAACCAGATGGTCTCAGTGAAGCGAATGCTCTAGCTCTCCCACCCCAATCTGTCATCTCCTCTCCGTCCCTCCCTCCTTCCCCTCCTCCATTCCTGGCAGGCATGTCCCTTTCCTACGGTCTCGCCCCTTCCCTTCTCCTCCAGGCCTGGCAGCATGTCCCTTTTCAACGTGCCCCCAGAAACGCCCCTCACCTCCTGTTCTCTCCTCCCATCCCCTCTCCTCTCCCCTCCTCTCCCTCCAGGCCTGGCCGGCATGTCTCTCTCCTACGGCCTCGCCCTCTCTCAAGGCCTCTTCTACGTGGTCTGGATCTGGTGCGCGCTCGAGAACCAGATGGTCTCAGTCGAGCGCATCCTTCAGTTCTCCCACCCAAACGTCCCTCCTGAGGCCCCCCTCACAATCCCGGCCCACCGCCCCCCCTCCTCCTGGCCCTCCCTCGGCGCCATCACCTTCGAAAACCTTCAAATTCGGTACCGGCCAGACCTCCCCTTGGTCCTCAAAGGCGTGTCTCTGCAGATCGACGGTGGGGAGAAGGTGGGGGTGGTGGGGCGCACCGGCAGTGGAAAATCAACGCTTGTCGTGGCGTTGTTTCGGCTGGTCGAGCCGACCGCCGGCCGGGTGGTGATCGATGGGGTGGATACGAGTAGGATCGGTTTGACGGACCTGAGGAGCAGGCTTGCGATCATACCGCAAGACCCGACCCTGTTTCAAGGGTCAGTTCGGATGAATGTGGATCCGGCTGGAGAGTACAGCGATGGGGAGATCTGGGAGGCGCTGGACAGGTGCCAACTGGGGGAGGTGGTTCGCGGCATGGAGGAGAAGCTCGAGGCGCAAGGTGAGACCTTGATGCTCAGGGTAAGGTTTAAACAGAGGTATAGCTGGGCAGGTGCCAGCTGGGGGAGTTGGTTCGTGGCATGGAGGGGAAGCTGGAGGCTCTCCATTGGTGGAAGGAGGGGAGAACTGGAGCGTGGGGCAGAGGCAGCTCTTCTGCCTTTAGTGAACCCTGTATTCTTCTGTAAACCATTGATTATCCCACTAATGCCCCCCAGTGGTGGACGGAGGGGAGAACTGGAGCATGGGGCAGAGGCAGCGTTTCTGCCTTTAAGAAACCCCCCTATTATTCTTGCAACCACTGATTGCCTCCCAATGTTTCCCTCTCCAATCCCCTCCAGTGGTGGAAGGTGGGGAGAACTGGAGTGTGGGGCAGAGGCAGCTCTTCTGCCTGGGGCGGGCCCTGCTGAAGCGCACTCGCATCCTGGTGCTCGATGAAGCGACAGCGTCCGTTGATTCGGCGACCGACGCCGTGATCCAACGGACGATAAAGGAGAGCTTTGGCGACGCCACAATCATCAGCATCGCCCATCGGATCGCCACAGTCATTGACAGCAGTAAAGTGGTGGTCATGGAGCAAGGTGAGCGCACGCTTCGATCGAATAAAGTCATGTTTTTAGGGCTCCTTAAGAAATATACATCGCGCATCGGATTGCCATGGTTATCAACTGCAACAAAGTGGTGGTAAGTGTCAGAAGTTGATAAGACAGGAGCACGCTACTTGTGACATGATTGCATGTGCATTTAAGAGTTCATTCATACGATATATGTTTCTTCTTTTTCCTCTACTCTCTACCCCTTGCAGGCACTGTAGCTGAGTGTGACAAGCCAGCCAGGCTCCTAGAGGACAAGGCGTCCATGTTTTCACGCCTTGTAGCTGAATACTCTGCTCGCTCCACTGACATGGCGGATGTTGCAAGGAGCATGTCCATAGATAATCTGGAAGCAGTGGGTAGAGAGTCATCCACATCATGACACAACTCTTCAGAAATGCTTGCCGAATCATGCGTCTTACCCTCATGTATTGAGGTACGGTACATGTTACTCGCTCTGCATCCCGTTTCGCGGACCCGTGACTTGCGTTGATCAGCAACACAAGTGTAACATTATTTCATTAATGGCTTGGAATGGAATGGAACCCTTACACATGGTGTAAAATAGGAGCAATCTTTCAAGGTACCGTTGTAGTGCACTCGTTTCCTGATGCTGGAAGTGTTTGTGTCGAGATGACATACTGACGGGAACCAAATCTATTGGCTCAAGTCGCCGTGTCGAGCGTGTCAATCACGTCATATACAACCAATCGTGTTCCCCGTACCCATCGGGTGACCCGACCAGGTGATGGTTCGACATCCCCGAACCAAGTGAGCTTATCGCCGAACATTTCGCGAAAACCACGTCCGTGTATCGCGCTCGTCGATGTCGTCGAAGGCGCCATTTCGACCGTCCGATGTTTTTACCCATGTCCCCAACGAGCCTGCTCGAGTTTCGCCACAGCAAAACGCGTTGCCGGACGTGTGTTGCATGGCGGGCGACAAACGGGGGCATGAGAAGGGGTGTACAGCTCTGTATGTGCATGCAGTGCTTGCCAGGGCGTTTTGGGAAGAATGACCAATTTACCTTGCCTAGTCTGAGGATGAAATTATTCCCATTCTATGCATTCTATGGCTGCCTAGTCTGCCATTATTCCCTCAGTCGAAAGCTGGGAGCTAGTACACTAGCAGGCGTAAGGTGTCTGCACGCTAGGTAGAGAACATCGCATTAGAGGCTAGCAAAAGATAAGGGTAGCAAACTCTCCTCTCTTCCTCCCTTGGTTTCACCTTGGCCTTCCTTGCGCCGGCGTAGCTTACTGCTGAGATTCTCGTACCTGCCATTTCCCGTGTCTTACCTTGCTTGTGGGAGCTTGGATTTAATCTTTCGAGCTGCGTTGTGGAGCGAGGCCATGGGTGGAGGTGAGGGAATTTGTGCGTCCTTCGCTCACCAGAGATTCGAGTCACAGCTTGTATTTCGGTCCACCTTAGAGGCCTTTTTAATTCGTATAACACCCCTACGACTATTTGTTGTCCTCCGATGTCTTTTTCTCCTCCTCTTTCAGGGAAATGGCCGCGCGTGGGTGAAGAAGGCGTGGAGGGCGCGTGGGAATTGGTGGGCTCGCCAGCGTCTGTATCGGACGGTGAAGTATCGGACACGGAGCAAGCGGAGCAGTCGGAGCAATCGGAACAGTCGGAGAAATCGGAGCAACCGGAGCAATCTGGCGCTGAACAGTTGGATTTAGCGTGTGCTGTCTGCGCTGGAGGGGGTGTTGACGTCGAGTCTTCTTCGGCTGACGTCGAATTCTTGCCTGCTGACGCCGAATCCTCTCCTTCTGACGTCGAATTCGTTACCCCGTTGACCGATTCGGAACCGGCGTCTCGAGAACGCTCTACTTTGCCAGTTTCTTCTCTTCATGACGTTATCCAGACGGCTGAACTGACGGCTGATGCTGAGCAGACGGCTGAACTAACGGCTGAACTGACTGCGGATGCTGAACTAACGGCTGAATTGACAGCTGAACTGACGGCCGATGCAGAGCAATCAGGTGAACTGACGGCGGATGCAGAGCAGTTAAGTGAACTGACGGCTGGTGAAGAAGTGGTTGCTCTTCTGGCTGAAGCAAGCGCATCAGCCTTAGCTTCCCTGGAGTCCGTGCCTAATGTCCCCGCGCTGGTTGCTGATGCTCCTGCTGCCGCTTCCGATGCACATGTTGCAGGTTCTGCCGGCTCTACTGCTTTGAATGCTTCTGATGCTTCTGATGCTCCGGATGCTCTAAATGCTTCTGATGCTGTCGATGCACCTGATGCAAAGGACGGTCAGCCAGTTGTTAAGCCCCAAGACGACCGTGAAGCGGAAGCGAAGGGGAGCGAGGGCACGGGAAACCAGGGCGGACAGGAAGAGGGGAGCGAGAGTGACCACGGGATTGAGAGCGACGTCGTGCTGGGTGCTGGCGGGCGTGGGGAGGAGGAGAAGGGTGCTGTGCTCCTGGTAGAGGCTGATCTGTCCGCTGCTACTGCTGCTGCTGTGGAATATCAATGGCTCACAACTTTCGGTGCTGCTGCTGCTGATTCCGGCGATTCTTCCACCCCTCCTGCTGCTGCCGGTAGCACTCAGGCGAAGCTGGCGTGGCGCCTGGCAGGCGCTTTGTCCCAAGCGGCAGGTGCAGGGAAGGCAGGTGCGCTGGCGGATTTGGCAGTTGTGACACGTGCGGCTGACGTCGCGCCATCGACATATGATGCTGCTGCTACAGCTGGTGCTGGTCTTTGCCCCTCTGATACCAGCCCCCTGCACCTGCTGAGGCCAGCGTTTGCCGGTTCTCCTTGCGTTCTATCCGCGTTACAAGTGGGCGCCCCAGCGTTACAGGGTAACACTAGCCACGGCACGTGTGCAGGAAAGGGAGCAGACGCAGTTGAACCGTCCCCAGGTGGCACCTCCTTGCCGCTGCTTGTGCCGTTCACCCCAACGTTCTCTGCTGCTCCCGCCAAGGCTGAAGGGGAAGCAGGGGTTTTTGCACCACTGCTGGTTGACTTACTCTGCTCTGGGCTCAAAGCACTGCCAGCGGCTGCGGCTTCTGATTCTGCGGCCGCTGCTGCTGCTGCTGCTGGTGCCGAAGTCAGCTGCGAATCAGCTGCCGACAGCTCATCTGCTGCTGTGTCTGCTGCCGTCTTGGTGCTCTCTGTGACCGACCTGAACGCACTCCGACTGCTCTGTGAAGGGGACGGCATGGGCGAGGAGGGGTGGGAGAAGGGTGCCGAGCTTCTGAAGCAGCTGCGGGCACTGTTTGACCCTCTGCGCCTCGCCTTTCGAAGTAAGTGGCTGGCTACTGCCAGGCTTAGTGTGCGATGCGGGGCGAGAAAAGGGTGCAGCGCTGCTGAAGCAGCTGCGGGCACCGTTTGACCCTCTGCGTCTTGCCTTTCGATGTACGCACTTGTCTGATGCCGTGCTTACTGCGGCCTTCGTTTTCTTCAACCGTGGTCAAACTGCGCCTCTCTGCATGTCTAAACTTGAAATGCTCTCACAATCTGGAAATGTTCCCCTTCTCACATTTCCTGCTGCTTTCGTCCTGCCTCTTGCCACACCCCTCCCTTTCCCGTTCCAGACTCCCAGGGAGTGCCCATCGCTCTTCTCAACACCCACTCCCTCTCACCCAATACCCTCGCCCACTGCCGCTCCTTCCTTCTCTCCTCCCTGCACCTCCCCCCATCCTGGCCCATCTTCTCCATCCCCTCTCTGTTGAAACCACCTGGCGCGCCTGCCAATGCACCTGAGTCCGGAGAATCACCTGAGTTGGAAGGCGCTGCTGCACTGCTTATCTCGGTGGTACACCTCTCGAGACTCTCAGCAGCGGTGTGTGGAGGAGGGGGTAGGAGCAAAGGAGGGGTGATTGGAGCCGGTGCAAGCAGGTCAAGTAATTTCAGCCAGGCAAGCGAGTCAGAGGAGTGCAACAAGTGGGCGGCTCTCTGGCAGGCTGCAGATTCCCTCTCCTCAGGCCGACTCTCCCACTGCGTCTCCACCGTCATTCCCCACCTGCACCAGCTCTACCTCCCCTTCCAACCCCACCTTCACCAGTTGAACCTTCAACTCCACCGCCGCTTCCCCTCTCTCCACCAACAGCTCTCCTCTTATTACCACAGCCCGCGCAAGCTCGTTCTCCCCCTCTCCCTCCTCCTCCTCGCTCTCCTCCTCATCTCCTTCCTCCTCTCAGGTCTCCTCCTCCTTGTCCTTCGCTCCTGGATCCACCACGGGGCTCCCTTCCCGTTCACTATGGACCTCCACCTGTCGCCACTTCTTGATCTGGTTTCTGCTGCATGTGGCTGTAATGCTCCTGGTGCTGGTGCTGGTGCTGGTGCTGGTGCTGCTGGTGATGGTTCCTGCAATACAGGGCCTTATTTCGGGCCGTACAATCATGAGGCGAGGGGATGGTGGAACTGGTGGGGACCCTCGTCCCACCACCACCACCACCGGCAGCACTACTACTACCGCACTAGATGGACTCCGGCACGGGACTGATTGGGCTTCAGCACCTGATTGGATGGCTTTGAAGGGGTTTCTGGATAGCCCGCATTTGACCATCCGCCCACCACTGCCACCACTGCCAGCTCTACTGCAACCGCACTGGATGGCCCACTGCATGGGATGAAGCCCTCTGTGCCTTTTGCCTCGTGACAATACCTAGCTAGCTCTCATCCCACCCTAACCTCCGCCCATCCATCCGGGACCCGTCCATCCATCCGTCCATCCATCCGGGACCCGTCCATCCATCCGTCCATCCATCCGTGACCTGTCCATCCATCCATCCACCATCTCCACCATGGCTAGCAAGACCCCCATGACCACCATCATCATCACTACTATGGCGGAACTATATGGGTCCCTTTAGATTGATTGGCTAGGTGCTTAGTGCTGTACAGAAGGGGTCCTGCCTAGCACCATCTGCCCACCGCCGCTGCCAGCAGCACTGTTTCCGTGCTTCGGTAGAGCCGGACTGAGTGGGGCTTTGCTGGGAGTGAATGGTTTTCTTGAGAGTACGGCAGGTAACATTTGGGGGGCTGGTGGGAGAAGGTGGCTCATGGTCCGAGGGAGACAGAGTTTGTACATTTTTAGAGGTCCCCTTCGGATGGTACTAGGACTTTCGTGGTGGAAGTTGTATATAATCTTGAACATTGGTGTTCTATGGGCGTATGGGAGTCTATCAAGGAAACTGAGTTGTATAGGTTGGCATGCATGTAGGAGACTACACGTTTGGTTTGCTAGCAGATAAATGTTGAACTAGTTCTTCATTGTGTTCTACATTGTAGCGAAGCGCTTCACACAGTAACCATAACGAATTTGCGAAGCAGCTGGACACACAACAACAAATTCGCCATGCGTCGTGGGGAGGTCGCATCGCAACACAGCAGCTCTCGCAATTAGGCCGGGCGAATGTGAGCTATCGCTGGCGAGTATGGGCAAACCTTTCGCAAGAGGCGTTTCTGTTTCTAGCTGGACACTGCAAGTCTCTCAAGCCGAATTGTTCTGGGGGAGTGCGACTGTTGGCCAGTGTGACTGTGTAACTGCATATACATCGAGCCATGTTGTTTCTCTTAGTTTTGACTATTCGCGGCTCGTAGAGGGAGAAGTCTGGTTACGACCTGATAAAATGCAACCCAAATTTGAAGAGCGAGAAGCGCTGCCCGCCCTCCCGTCAACATGGCTCCTGTCATATGCCGTGCGACACTCTCAAGGAAACCGAGGACAACCTGGCGTTTATTGTCCAAGCCCAGCAATTACTGAACTAACCGAAGTTTTCCATTTTTAGGGACGCCTGTCCAAGACGCACGCCTTCACCAGGTCGAACTCAACGTGGGACTTGTCAGACATGCGTCGACGACACGCCACAGTCAAAAGATCCAAGCCGACCAAGCAGCCAGTTCCGCTGTCTCAGTCCTCTTGGCTATTCGCGTAAGCCAGACCAAAGCGCGCTACGAAGAGTCGCGCGAAAAATCAAGTTTTTACTAAAGATGCTTCTAGATTCCGTCAAAATGCCCCACCAGCGCCCAACCAGCGCCCAACCAGCAACCAGCGCCCAACCAGCGCCCAACCAGCAACCAGCGCCCAACCAGCGCCCAACCAGCGCCCAACAAGCAACCAGCGCCCAACAAGCAACCAGCGCCCAACCAGCCAACATGCCCCCTCGTCTCCCCAGATAGCATCTACCTCACCGTCCGCAAGCGACGGTCGTTCATGGCGCCTAAAGCATCTGACAAACCCGCGAGGGACGGTCCTTTCATGGCGCCTCCAGCACGAGCCACCGTCCTCAAGAGGAGGCCCTTCAGGGCGCCTACAAACATCGATGCTGTCCACTCACTCCCCACCACAATTACTAGATTCCCTTCAACCTGATTCTCAGTACCACGACCTCAGTTCATCGATTCGCGCGGCAGTGCTGCTTATTTCATTCGACGAAATAATCCGCTCGTTGCTTACTAAGAAGCTGTAGTATAACATTGCTCGTTCCAACCGGCCCTCGCGATGGCGCGCTTCGACCTTTCAATTCTGGCGCTCGTACTCATGGCCGCCTTCGCCGTGTCGGCCTTTTCAACGGGAGCGAGCGCCCAGTCCTACCTCACGATCAAGGCCGCGGCGGCCCGAAAGACCGCGAACGACGCGGAAGTGGTGACGAACGCAGCGCTGGCGGACTACAACGCCAAGCTCAAGGCGGAGCAGGCGATTCAGAAACTCATCGACGACGCGAACGCCGCACTGGCTGCGTCGCAGACGACTCTCGCGAAAACGAAGAAGCAGCTGGACGACGCGAGGACGAAGGCCGAGGTGGCGCGTCAGGAGATGATCAAGTTCAGGGGGGCGCTGCAGACGGAGCAGGACTACCATGACGAGCTGGAGCAGCAAGCGGCGGAGGCGATCGCCGACACCGCGGCCTTGGAAACCGACATCGTCCCCACTCAGGAGCAACTGGACCTCGCTAACGCGCTCGTCGCCGAACAGACCCAGATCGCCAAAGAGGCCACCGCCGATTCCACCTACTATGCGCGCCGCGCCGCGAAGCTCAAGACGCCGGAGGCGGCAGCCGAGGCCGCCGACGCGCAGGCGGTCCGCGCGCAGGCGAATCGCATCCTGGGCGCGCTTAAGAAGCAGGCGGCGCTCGCTCTGGACGCCCTGGAGGCGATGCAGTACGATCTGACGACCGCGAGGAAGGACAAGATCGACACGCGGAAGGCCGCGGACGAGCATCTGGTTGACCTGAACAAGGCCAAGAAGGACGCGAAGGATGCGGAGGGCGTGTACTACAAATACGTGGGCGACACGAAGACGCTGCCGAATGTGATCAAGACGATCATGGCCGACGTTCAGGTGAAGACGACAGCTGCGGCTAAGGTCACCAAAGACAACAAGGTTGCACTCGGGCAGGCGGCCTCGATTCGCGCTCAGACGGAGGCTAAGTACACGCAGGCGAAGGCGCGTTCTGACTCGCTTAAGGCGGCTGCGGACCAGGCGGAAGCGGATTCCGCCGCTTACGACAAGGCTCACTCCGTCAACTGGAATACGGGCAACGGCAACGGGAACAGCAACGGCAATGGTAAGTGAAGGATCAGTCGTTCTTGCGACGGAGGCTAAGGGACTTCACGCATGCACCCGATTTCCCCCTCTGCGTATCCCCATCGTGCTTTGTTTGCAATTTGTTGTGGACCTGGAGAATGCCTTCTGGAGCTCTCAAGGCTCCCCATCTTGGGAATACGCCGTGGTCGCTAGGCCTGTGCGCTTTCTGAGGAATAAAGGCATCGTGTAAGACGAATTCATAAATTGAGCTTCTGGTTCTACTCAACTCCATAAATCTTCAACACGAGGCATAGATGATGAATTGGGATGCCTAGTTGCAGATAACGCAGCAGACAATGCCTCAGTAAGGGGATTAGGAGATGAGGTGATGGTGCGTAGCTGGCGTTCCCGGGTCGCGTGGATGTTTGCCATGCAAATGTTCGTGTTGCACGAGAAACATTTCCAGCGCAGGCGATTCCGAGGTGGTGGGCTTGCTGTGAAAATGGAATCGCGCTTTCATTCCCGTTGGGGAAAATCACGGGGAAAGTTAGCTGCTACATGTAAAAAAACGTAATCTCTTGAAGGAATATCATTAGCATTGCTGTTAGTTGTTTTGAGATGCCATTGTGATGCCAAAGCGTTCATATTGCCCCATGATTCCAGAGATTTTTCAGTTTTTCTTATATAAAAATGCCGTCATGAAGGAAAGCAATATGGAAAGTATGCATGCTTTCAGTAGTTATTTGAATTTGTATATGTTTGAAATCCTTTGCAGCAAAATCATGTTGACAGTTATAACAGAATGGCAATAACGAGCTCGTTAGCAACCAGCGAATGCCCAACAAAAGTCACGTCTGCCAAATGTCAACAAGCTGGCCCAACATTCAGGCTCAAGCGCCCGAGAGCTGAACAGCCTCTTTTGAGAATGGGGTCGTGTTCTAACAATATTGCAGCTTCCTTTCGCATCCTTCGTCAAAAGCAAACTTCCCAATGGATTGGAGTGCTGCTGTTGGAGGAAAGGTGGCACTGTTGGAGTTCTGAGGTTATTTAGTGCCACTAGCTGTTAAAAGTGCAAGGATGGTCCATGCAGAACGAGGTTTACTAATCGATATTGAATACGCCCCGTTTGTGGAAGCATGACCCCGTTGCGCTAACAGCACGCCCCACAAGTGAGCAACTCTCGTTGGTTTTCAACACACTGGGCTGGGCCACAGCGCGACACTGCGAGCCGCGTGAAATGTCAAATTCCAACAAGCATGGTGCACTGTAGAATGATCCGACCTGGTTAGGACGCGGTACATTGCGTCCGGTTCGACGTTCGTTTCACGATCTTCGCACTGAACAAAGCGGGTTACTACAGTGCCCTCGAACTTAGTACTTACCAGATTGTAAAGCACGATCACTTCCAAAACAATCGGGTGAAATTTATTTCACGTTGGACACACAACCAATTCAGCGTGACCAGGTACCAAGTCGCCCCCTCACAGAAATCACGAAACCTACATTGCCTCGCAATTTCGCCAAGCGAAAACCAAAGTCCGTGCCAACACAATAACCCGTGCCGCACGTGGCGCCGAATATGCGAAGGCATCTGTTGGTTGCCCTGTTTTGACGACAAAACTCGGCAAGGCTGCAGTTGGCAAAGCTGCAAATCAATCTTGAAGATCGGAGGCAGCAAATCTGTCACATGCCCCTATCGCGTACAAGATCGATTGTGTGAAATTGTTTTCGAGTGAATAGATTTGGCCAAAATTTGCAAAATCGGGAAAAAGTCTGCGATCCTCCCGAACGGAAGCAATGTACCACGTCCTTAGAGCTACTGGTGGTGGTGGAGAGAAATGTGGTTATATCCAGCCTCTTCCCCTTCTCCCCCCACATACCACCTGATTCCTGAATCCTCCTCCCGCTGCGACCAGTGGAGCTTTTGTGTTCCCCCCTCAAGACGTAACTCGCCCTCATTTGTTTCGTCGAGACAACAATGCACAAGCAATTACTCGCCACTGTTTCATCCATATACCGCCTTCCCAGTCCCCATTTGTCAGATAGAATCGTTCCGATACATATCCCGATCAGTAGCGGCGACAACCATGACTCAGTTGAGGGATTCATTCATAGCGCTGATTCTCGTTACTGGTCTGGTTTTCTCAACCTTATCCGCAGGAGCAAACGCCCAATCTTACCTTGCCATCAAAGCAAAAGCAGCCAGACAAGCCGCTAACGACGCGGACGCGCTAGCGAGTGCTGCGATAGCGGACTACAACGACAAGTTCAAGGCGGAAGCCGCGTTACAAAAAATACTCGACGATGCGAACGCGGATTTGGCCGCCGCGCAAACGGACCTCGCGAATAAAAAAAAGCAGCTCGACGACGCGAGGGCGAACGCGGAGCCAGCGCGCCAAGACATGATAAAGTCACGAAAGACGTTGCAAGAGGTGCAGCTATTCTCCGACGATCTCGAGATGGAGGCGGAAGAGGCGGCGAGCGACGAGAAGGAGGCGGCGAAAGACATCGCGGACGCGCAGGCGCGCTCCGCGCTGTCCGCGCAGCTTCTCGCGGAGCAGAACACGATAGTTAAGGAAGCCACCGCCGATTCCACGTTCTACGCGCGGCAGGCGGCGAAGCTCAAGACGCCCGAGGCGCGGACGCGGGCGGTAGACGCGCAGACGATCCGCGCGCAGGCCGTGCGAATCCAGGCGGATGTCGTGAAGCAGGCGCAGCGCGCAATGGAGCGCGTGGCGAATCGGCAATCCGATTGGACGGCGTCGAAACGGGACAAAGCGGACATGAGAGCAATGGCTGACGAGCAGAAGCTCGTGCTGAGTAAGGCGAAAAAGGACGCGGACGACGCGACTGGACTCTACTTCAAGTACGTTAACGACGCGAAGACGTTACCGTCAGCTGTCAAACAGCTGACGGTGAAAGCGACGGAGGCGGCTAAGGCCGTGAGAGATAACAAGGCCCCGCTTGCTCAAGCCGCGGCGTTCCGCGCTCAGGCGGAAGCGAAGTCTAAGGTGCTCAAGGCGCGCGCGGAGACGTTCAGGGCGGCTGCGCAGCAGGCGGAAGCGGACTCCGCCGCTTACGACAAGGCGCACTCCCCCGACTGGAATACGGGCAAGGGAAGCGGCAACGGTAACAGCAACAGCAACGGCAACAGCGACAACAATGGCAACAACAACGGCAACGGCAACACTGGCAGCAGCGGCAGCACTGGCACTAGCAGCAGCGGCAGCAGTGGCAGCAGCAGCAGCAATGGCAGCACTAGTAGCAGCGGCAGCACCGGCAGCAGCAGCAGCAGCAATGACAGCACTAGTAGCAGCGGCAACACTGGTAGCAGCAACAGCAATGGCAGTACACGTAGCAGCAGCAGCAGCGGCCACGGCAACAACAAGTAATGGCCATAAGGCCAGAGAAGCATAAAGCAACATAATACAGGCATTGTGTGACATGAATGATGTAAATCGTTACATTGATGTTATCAAGCAATAAAGCTGTTGTGAACGGTTCATTGCTGGTAGATAGTGACGGATAGAACACTCTGAGTTAAGTTCGACTATTCTCACCAGTAAGTCGCGACTCGCGCTCGGAGCAGTTCTGTATGCGAGCGGCGGAGTAGCAGCGAGCCGCTGGAATCGGATTCCATATGGCTAGTAGCGCGTCCAGGGACCTGCATACATTCCAAAATGTGGGATCCGACCCAGCGGGCTGATGCCAGCGGTCGACGGGCGCGAAGGACGACCGACGCACGAACTGCCAGCAGAAATACCTCTGCAGAGGGTTTGAACGACGAGCCCCTCACTTGCCCGCGCGGAGTCATCAACCGTCTTGTTACAGCATTTCTTTCAGGCGTGGGTACGTTCCATCGGCAGCTTGCGAGATCTAGACGCGCGCAAGTATGGAACGACATCTTATCTGCCTTCGGAAGGAACTTGTTTGAAACGCAGCCTCAATCGGTGCTGTACAGCCCGTAACGACATCTTACTCGCCTGTGCTTCCATCCATCCACAAAAACGCGGGCGGTACGGCCTGAGCTCCTGAGTAATCGTCCTCTACAACTTATTCCTTCCATCCGAGGCTTACGATGCTCGTGTGTGCAGGAATCCACACGCGCTAGTACGAGGGGGACGGGATTGGGAGTCAGATCCGAATACTTCGGCTGAGAGTAAGCAGCAGGGCGAACTGCTATCAACAAAAAGAGCGGCTGGGAGTGGCGGCACCGTAAAGTTCGCCTGCTTGAACGAGTAGGAGATTCTCTGGGGGAATGTGCAACGAGGTGCTCGGGGTTTGGGATGAAATTGGCGAGTCGCGGGGTTCCCGCGGGTGAGGGAGCTCAAAAGACTCGTTTTGGCATGGCGGGATAGTCGTTTACACTCAACGAGCACATGCCGTCTCAACAAAGTCTTTGTGGTTATAAGCTAAGAGGTGAATTTCCCTTTACATTGTGTTTTGGGCAAAGGAAACTACACTAAAAAAAACCAACCTGTGTGGAAAGCTCTTATCCTAAATCATAGAGATCACTTGCGTAGGGGAATATAGCAGGATACATCGAGCAAGTGTAGAATTAATTCAAAACCCCTAGACACAAACCCCCCTAATAACCTATCAAGAGGAATAGTAGCCCTGAATGATTCCTACGTTCTGTATGAGATTTGAGAATTATTTGCGCTCTTGTATGTGTAATGACAGGGTGTCTTCTTGAGGGTTTGACCAAGAAAAGGTTATATTTGCTGTATGGATGTATTGCCCCAGGTAAAGTGCACTCATGGGCTATTCATTCTGTCTCCAACGCGTGTTATCGAGGACAATCAAGCCAAGCAGTTCCTCCAATTCCCCCCCTGCGACTGCTCCACTGCACCCCCATCAGATCCATGTGCTCCTTGTGGTAGTGAGTCACCCCTGTCTGGCACCTTTGGAGCCGAAGCGCGCCTACGCAAGCCGCATTGTTGGTGGAAATGAAATTTGGTTCGCACTTCCATCATCCACCTCATCCCTATCAGTGTGTGGCAGAACTAATTACACACTGCGACTGCTGAGCGCGTATCATGGAACTCTTGAAAGTTCACTCGAAAGTGTATAACTCCGCGTTCAGTCTCCGATTTTCGACGGTCAATTTCGTCCTAGAAAACCGTTGAAGTGCCTTTTCTTTTACCCCGTCTTGACATAGCAACCATGAATCAACTCTGCTATTCATTCGTGACACTTGCTCTAGTGTCGGCATTGGCCGCGGCTGCCTTCTCGTCCGGAGCGCACGCGCAATCGTACATGGCCACCCGCGCCAAAGCCGCCCGAAAGGCCACGGATGATGCGGACGCGCTGGCCCAGGCCGCGCAGGCGGATTACAACGACAAGCTCAAGGCGGAAAATGCGGCGAAAAAAGCCGTCGACGACGCGGACGCGGATTTGAGCGTCGCACTGACGGACCTCGAGAATAAGACGAATCAGCTGAGCGACGTGAAGGCGAAGGCAGAGCAAGCGCGGCAGGACACGGTCAAACTAAAAAAGACGCTTCGAAACGAGCAGGACTACGCCGACGAGCTTGAAATGGAATCCGACGAGGCGGTTTATGACGAGGCGGAAATGGCTAAGGACTTCCTCGACGCGCAAGACCGCATGAATTCCACGGAGTATATGCTCGCAGGGCAGAAGATACTCGCCCAGGACGCCAAGGCGGACTCGACGTTCTACGCTCGGCAGGCGGCGAGGCTTAAGACGCCCGAGGCGCAGGCTCTAGCCGCCGAAGCGCAGTCGATTCGCGCGCAGGCGAATCGAATTCAGGCGGAGCTCGCGAAGCAGGCGCAGGCTGCGCAGGAGCGCCTGTCGACAGCGCAATCCGACTGGTCGGCGCTGAAAAGGGACAAGTCTGACACGCGACGAGCAGTGGACGAGCAAAAGGCTGTGGTTGATAAGGCGAAGAAGGACGCGGCAGATGCGGAAGGGCTCTACTACAAATACGTGGGCGACGGCAAGACCATCGACGCGGCTATCAAGCAGCAAAGCGCAGTGGTGGCGGCGAGGATAAAGACCGCCAAAGACGCCCGGCTCTTGCTAAGCAAGGCCACTAATACCCGAGCTAATGCGGAGACGAAGTATAACTCGTTGAAGTCGCGATCTGAGGCGTTGGGGGTTGTTGCGGGCAAAGCAGAGAAGGATGCAGCGGCTTATGAAGCAACCCATGCCGGTGGGAATGGTGGGGGCAATTCGACTGGTGCGCCGGGCAACGGAGGTGCGAATGGTGCGACGGGCAACGGAAGTGCGAATGGTGCGACGGGCAATGGCAATTCGAGTGGTGCGACGAGCAGTGGCAATTCGACTGGTGGGCCGAGCAGCGGCAATTCGACTGGTTCGACGGGCAACAGCAATTCGACTGGTGCGACGAGCAACGGCGGTTCGACTGGTGTGATGGGCAACGGAACTGCGAATGGTACGATAGGCGATGAAAATGGGAATGGTGCGACGGGAAATGGAAATGCGAAGGGCAGCGACCATACGACTGGTACGACGGGCAGCGGAAATGCGAATGGTGTGACAGGCAATGGAAATGTGAATGTTGCGAGGGGCAGCGGAAATGGAACTGGTGCGACTGGCAGCCCAAATGCAACTAGTCCCGCAAGCAGCGGGAATGCGACAGGTGCGACGAGTGACAGTGGCGCAGGCGACGGAAACGCAAATGGTGGGGTTCATGTCGGCTCAGCTAGGAGCTAGTCGTCCCAGTCACGTTGAAACTGATCCTCCGAGGCAGTTCAAAAGGCCCAATTACCTCCCATGTGAACTCTGCTGGCGTGGACCCCCTCCGCGCCTGGGAAATGGCTGGTGGAGCATCAAAGCACCCTGCCTGAATAATCGCATTTCCGCCAGGAAATGCTCAGACATAATTCTCTGGGTAATTTGCTGCCAGATGGGAAAGGGAAAGTACATCGGCGCTCATTAGTAGGGGTCTAGATAACATGTAAGATCAGTGACACAATATAAACAATCAGAATTAGCGATTTCGCAACATGTTTCATCAGTCGAATTCCATCGTTAGTTAGAAACTGCAGGAAAAAAGTTCCACGAATGGTCAGTAGAAGTAACCCCTGCCAGTCTCGAAACGTCTTCCCGCTTGCGCAAGCCCAATTTCGTCATCATTGCGGCTGTCGCGATAAGTTTCCAAAGCGCCAGGCGCAGTTCGATAGAACTACGTAAAGTATTCCCAAATTAAAAATCATTGGACGTTGCGCACACAAAATTCCAAAATTAAGACCTTGCGTATTTATGTCACATAAGCTAATTGGGCCACAGCGTGCCGCACATCGGGTGCGATATTTTTCAAACATCAACAAACCTACAAAAAACGAAAACATTCGACATGAAAGGGAAATCTATCCGGGATCGACGCTAAGCCACTGAGGCGTGAACATTTAGCTTACTGGGCGTGCGCTAATTTGTTTCGAGCATGACAAAACACGTAGAGTCGTAATTTGGCGGAAAACTTTTCGGGTAAATACATTTGTTGAAAATATCAAAAGACTGTCAACTTATACATATTATCTATGTAGAAGTTATAGGCTAGACTGAGGTATGCTTCTAGTGAGTACAACCAACTAGTATTTGTTCTAGGTTTCCCTGCTGCGACAGGCGTAGGACTGCCTAGGTTGCCTAGTCTAGTCGCTGCACCGGCTCCGTCCCCGGCCCCCGCCACTGCGTCCCTGTCCTTCACTCTCGACTCTGGTGCTTCTGCCTGCTTCTTCCGCGACCGTTCCACGCTCACGCCGCTTGCTGCACCTGCTGTTGTCTCTCTCGCTGACCCCTCTGCGGGTCCGGTCGTCGCGCGCAGTTCTACGTCCCTTCCCTGTCCGGCAGTTCCCTCGGGCTCCCTTACTGGCCTCCACGTTCCCTCGTTCTCCAGGAACCTGGTTGGTGTCGGCTGTCTCCAGGACCTCGGCGTCACCACCACGTTCCCCGAGCACGAGCGGTTCGCTGTCTGTTCTGAGGCTGTCTCAGGTTCCCCCCTTGCGACGTTCCCCCGGGACCCGGTGTCCGGTCTGTTTACCCTACACACCGCTTCCCCCCCGGTTGGTGCGTCCTCCCAGGTCGCTGCAGCTTGCTCGTGTCGGTCCCTCACTCACCCCTCCCTTCTCTGGCACCACCGCTTAGGTCACCCTGCTCTCCCGCGTCTGCGTCACATGTCCCAGCACGGTCTTGTCTTAGGTCTCCCCGCGTCGCTCCCTGCCCTTCCTCCCTCGACTGCGCCACCGTGCACGCCTTGCGTCGAGGGTCGGCTCCGCCGTGCTCCTCACTCCTCCTCGCTGCGTCCTGCTACTGCCCCCCTTCAGACCCTGCACTTGGACGTTTGGGGCCCTGCCCCCGTCCCCGGACCGCGCGGTGAGCGCTACTTCCTTGTGCTTGTCGACGACTACACGCGCTACACCACGGTGTTTCCCCTGGAGCGGAAGGCC